TTTTGCATTCAGTACCTCGCAGATTTCCTTGTCGCTTTCTGTATATGCCCTTTCTGTTTTCCTCAGTCTTGTCACTTGGTCATTTACCGACATCTTCCTTCTTATATGGCTATGTAGTAATTTGGTTGCTTTTTCGCTTTGACTGCAATATCATTCTCATAATTTCTTTCCGACACTCGTCTTATGTTAATGTAATCATTCCTAGCTCTGTTACATCTAATCCTGTTGTCCTCTGTCCTTTGTCTTCTGTACTTCCTCCACTCCCTCCTGCTTCTCACCTTTGCTTCCTGACACTGTCTATTAAACCATGGGTTATTATATTCCCTCCTGCTTTTTTCCTTTATTGTTGGAATAAATCTATCTTCAGCCTCCTTGCATTTCAATATGACTTGGTTCATCATACCTTGCACTGTTTTTCCTCTGAGTTCTTCCTCCCACTGCACTTCTCCCAGGTAGTCCCTTATCCTTCTGTAGTCCCCTTTTCTGTAATCAAGTCTCCTTTCCCGGACCTCTTGTCCTTTGGTCACAATTTTAAGCTCCATCATGTAGTCAAAGACTAGGACACAATGGTCACTAGCTCCTAGTGGTATTTCATGTTCCAACTGCTCGATGTCTTCTACATTCTGAGTGATAATGAGATCTAATAGGCTGGGCGTATCCCCTCCTCTTTCCCTAGTATCTTCTTTCACATGCTGTGTTAGGAAATTCCTGTCAATAACGTCTACCAGCTTCGCTCCCCAGGTCTCCTCCCCGCCATGGGGATTCCTCGTTTCCCAATCTATCTCTCCGTGATTTAGAGAATGGAGCATGGGTGCTGTGTGTTAGGGGGGTGTGTGTGTGTGTGTGTGTGTGTGTGTGTGTGTGTGTGTGTGTGTGTGTGTGTGTGTGTGTGTGTGTGTGTGTGTGTGTGTGTGTGTGTGTGTGTGTGTGAAAAAAAGTTAGTAGTTAGCAACAGTTGATTGATTGACAGTTGAGAGGCGGGCCAAAAGAGCAGAGCTCAACTCCTGCAAGCACAACTAGGTGAATACACACACACACACATACACACAAGTCATGGTTGGAAAAAGTTAAGTTAGAAGGATGTGGAGGCCAAAACCATCAATAGTTTCAGAGCATAATATGACAAAGAGTACTGGGAAGACGGGACACCACGAGCGTAGCTCTCATCCTGTAACTACACTTAGGTAATTATTCGTTGTTGGCATGTGAACTTGGTGTCGTAACTAAGGTAATTACACTTAGGTAATTACACACACACACACACACACAACTTCCCTGCATGTCTATCAACTCGCATTTAGCTCTGTCAAGAAGATAAGTGTTCACTTTCAGCAGAAACTCATTAACCATGCTTAACACGAACAGTAGTTAGTAAATAAATATAAAAAAGGTCCCAATCTGGGAACAAATCACAACACGTGTAGAGAAAACCTGGACAAATCTCTTCTTCTTCCCGGGGGAGTATTCTTCTGAAGGGAGACTCCCAAGGAACAACAACAACAATGCAAGTGTCAGATGTTCTTGGACCACAGAAACATTTATCGATCACATTCGTCACAAATAAACAGTTTTGGAAATGCTGGGTGAGGCCAATTTCGATTATTGCCAAGCTGTTGATGGACTCTATCTAACATTTTCCATGCATGGTGATTTAACAATTAAAGCCCATTTCTGGCTAACACAGTACAATTGGGATCGAGGAACAACAATTTGTGCCACATGGTAGAGGGATACATGTTGAGAATACGGTCAACATCGAGCCCTTTGCATGGGTCATTATCTTCCTCTGAAGAATCGTCACTTGGGAATCTATATTCCTTATCCAGTAAACGTTTATATAATAGACGAGCGCGACTCTCTGATACAATATCAAAATCATCTGCAGAATCGCTGCCGGAGTGCTGGTCACATTTAGTTCTTATGTCTTTAATGTCTACTCCTCCATACTGAAGAGTGTATACCCGTTCTAAAGCTCTTTAATACTAGACATCGAATATTTGTTGAAATATGTTATTTGGTATGACCCATTCAGTTTTCTCCCTTAGCCATTTAGACCACCACTTTCCTTCTCCAGGCTCCTCCTTCACATTTTTCTTGCTCTCAAGAATGGGTGGACACATTTCTCCTTGCACCTACTCTTCCCCTTCTCCTCTCTCAAGTATGACTGGACAGGATGTCTGCATACTTTGTGGTGCTGTAGTAGTTTTATCTGTGGTTGATGTGGAATATTTCTGTTCCTTGGTATACAGATTTTTAGTCTTTGTCTCTTGCATTGTATCAAAGGCAGAATGATCGGGATTTGAAGACTATTTCTCAAATACATTCTGATAAATTTGTTGAAATGCAAGTTCTTCGAGTTATTTTTCATAGTCATAAAATGGTTACATTGTGCCAAACTCAACTAGACGGCAGGGAGAGAATCTTGATGGACGATTCCGATAGGAGATGTCACCCTCATAGTCGTCACCCTTGGTGTCGGAACCCCTAGAGTCGTCACCCCTAGACTCGTCACCTTTAGGGTCGTCCTCAGCCTCACTCACACCATGGCTGGATTCCCATGACTCGATGTCACCTTCACTTCCACTACAACTGGTTTCCAATGAAAATAACTTCAGCGTGTCGGCTATGTCACTGTCATCCAAAGAAGACTCTCCATTAAGCATGTTTTGAGATCTTTTCCTACAACCAGAAAATATTTCGGGGTTTTCCTGGTCAGAAGCAGAGTCCGATCCATCATAATCCTCATCTTATGCATATACAATATCCTCGGGTTAAAACAATAGAGGGTCAACATCAAAGTATATTCCTCCTGGTTAACCATCAATCTTGGGGTCTATCTCGGTGTCTCCTTCATAACCTCGATCATCGTAATGTTTACAGTGACCTTCAGTGATACTCTCATCATCTGCTTCCTTGCCGGAATCTTCGTTCAATTTGTAAGAAGCCCTTTATATAGCTTTGTAAATAGCTTTACCAATAGCTTTACAGACGTCAGCTTTATTGGTTAGTTTATTGGAAAATGTTCGGGTACCATTCTAACTGGCTTTGCATATGGCAGCGAGGAACTTCTTGAAGAATTATTTCTAGTCATCTTTATGGTCAATGTCATTGTTAATTTAAGTTCCAGAGCTATCGTCAGCTCTATAACTCTCTTTTCGGATAATTTAATAGAACATTTATCCGAGTGATTTAGAGTCAGTTTTAAGGTCAGAATTAACCTAAGTCTTCACGCGAGAACTCTGACCAAAATTAGTGTTAATCGTTTTCTAACGTTAAACATGGTTTTCAGATTTTTTTTAATATCTAGCATTCCGGACTGCTTCGAATATAATTTAATATGTTGGTTTATGGATACATTTATAAACAGTGTTGAAGTCAGATCCAACCATATTGGTTTTATCGTGAGCATCAATGCTGACTTCGTCATCACCGTCAATGCCTGCATCATCATTAGCTCTAATGAAAGCTGAATAATGAGACTGACGATTAGTTCTACATGAGGCTATTGTCTCCCCATCATCGCTGGACTTACTATCAGAGTTTGAACTCTCTACAGATGCAGAATCTGTAGCAAATGATTATGACTTAGAGTCCGTTTTGTGATAAATTTTGTGGCTATAATTTCTGGCGGTTTTCTAATCAGTTCCTTCAGTCTCTAAATCAGGTTGGTTGTTCAGTGGCCGGAGAAGTGGGAAGCGGTGCCTCTGGCGGGATCTGCGGGGAGCCTCATACCCACCCTTTCGCCTGACTTTCTGCCCAGTTCTGTGGTAAACATTGTTGATACTTACATCGTCAGAATCAAAACCATACTCATCACCTGCATCATATTTTTATCCTGCATCATCAACAACGTCTCGTCCTGTACCATCAACAACGTCTCGTCCTGCACCATCAACAACGTCTCGTCCTGTACCACCAACAACGCCTCGTCCTGCACCATCAGCGTCTCGTCCTGCACCATCAACGTCTCGTCCTGCACCATCAACAACGTCTCGTCCTGCATCATCAACAACGTCTCGTCCTGCACCATCAACAACGTCTCGTCCTGCACCATCAACAACGTCTCGTCCTGCACCATCAACAACGCCTCGTCCTGTACCATCAACAACGTCTCGTCCTGCATCATCAACAACGTCTCGTCCTGCACCATCAACAACGTCTCGTCCTGCACCATCAACAACGTCTCGTCCTGCACCACCAACAACGCCTCGTCCTGCACCATCAACAACGCCTCGTCCTGCACCATCAACAACGTCTCGTCCTGTACCATCAACAACGTCTCGTCCTGCACCATCAACAACGCCTCGTCCTGCACCATCAACAACGTCTCGTCCTGCACCATCAACAACGCCTCGTCCTGCACCACCAACAACGCCTCGTCCTGCACCACCAACAACGCCTCGTCCTGCACCATCAACAACGTCTCGTCCTGCACCATCAACAACGCCTCGTCCTGCACCATCAACAACGTCTCGTCCTGTACCATCAACAACGTCTCGTCCTGCACCATCAACAACGCCTCGTCCTGCACCATCAACAACGTCTCGTCCTGCATCATCAACAACGTCTCGTCCTGTACCATCACCATGGGACATAAGATGTAATTTTTCCTGCTCGTTTTCCCCACATGAGGACTCGATGGGGGAAAACGAGGCTCTCTCGCCTGTGGAGTCTGAACTCAGAATGTCGTCTACTGGCGATGCCTGTTAATTATTAATTCGCCATTTATATATTTGCCTCAGCCATTTCTTCTTGTTCTCAAATTCCTCTTCTTTGACATTTGGCTTTTATCTCGTTTATGTTGTTCGCTGGTGACTGTGGCGAGGACAGTCTCCCAGGAGGCAGAGAGCGGCCCAGTGCAGCCTGTCCCGTTCCTGCCTCGTTGGTAACTGAAACTTCTTTCTTGATGTATTGTTATTTATGTCTTGGGGACTACGAACCCACGTGATAAATCTTTCGGGATATTTAGGGAGTAATGGTTTTTCCTTTACTTCCTCCTTTTAAGCTTCCTCATCTTCCTCATCTCCCTCATCATTGACTTCCTTATCTTCCTCATCATTGTCTTCCTCGTCTCCCTCGTCATTGTCTTCCTCGTCATTTTCTTCCTCATCTCCCTCATCATTGACTTCCTCATCTTCATTATCATTGTCTTCCTCATCTCCTTCATCATTGTCTTCCTCATCTCCCTCATCATTGTCTTTTTCATCTTCCTAATCTTGGAAGGAGTGGCCCCTTTTCCTGCACCTCCTGTCATTATCGTCTTTATCCTCCTCCTTATCGACTTCGTCGTCCTCCTCATCATCATTATCTTCATTCTCGTTCTCCTCGTCCTCATCTACCTTATCCTCCTCGTCTACCTCATCCTTCTAGTCTACCTCATCCTCCTAGTCTACCTCATCCTCCTAGTCTACCTCATCCTCCTCGCACCCATTCACCTCATCCACTGTATCTTCCTCGTCCTGCGTTTCGTCATCATAAGGATGACTGAACCTTCTCCTGCTTTTCCTGTTATATTCGTCCTCTTAACCCTCCTCGTCCTCGTCCCTGTCCTTGTCCTCGTCCTCGTCCACGTTATTGTCCTTGTCCTTGTCCTCGTCCTCTTCATCTTCATCATCCTCCATGTCATAGTCAGAGGATAAGTTGGACCTTTTCCTCCCCTTCCTGTCATCATAGTCAGTGTCTTCATCAGAGGATTGGAAGGGCCTTTTCCTTCCCTTCCTGTCATCATAGTCAGTGTCTTCATCAGAGGATTGGAAGGGCCTTTTCCTTCCCTTCCTGTCATCATAGTCAGTGTCTTCATCAGAGGATTGGAAGGGCCTTTTCCTTCCCTTTCTGTCATCATAGTCAGTGTCTTCATCAGAGGATTGGAAGGGCCTTTTCCTTCCCTTTCTGTCATCATAGTTAGTGTCTTCATCAGAGGATTGGAAGGGCCTTTTCCTTCCCTTCCTGTCATCATGGTCAGTGTCTTCATCAGAGGATTGGAAGAACCTTTCCCTCCTCTTCATGTCATTTTGGTTAGTGTCTTCATCAGAGGATTGGAAGAACCTTTCCCTCCTCTTCATGTCATTTTGGTTAGTGTCTTCATCAGAGGATTGGAAGAACCTTTCCCTCCTCTTCATGTCATTTTGGTTAGTGTCTTCATCAGAGGATTGGAAGAACCTTTCCCTCCTCTTCATGTCATTTTGGTTAGTGTCTTCTTCAGAGGATAGGGATGACCTTTTCCTCCTCTTCGTGTCATTTTGGTGAGTATCTTCATCAGAGGATAAAGAGGATCTTTTTCTTCCCTTTCTCCCGTTATCCATATTGTTCTGTTTTATACCAAATCTTATTTTATTCCTGGTTTTATTAAAGCGAAATTAATGAAAAGCTAAAAAAACATTAATCTTATCCTGTTCATAGTCTACATACACTAATTAGTAAATATGGAATATAAACAATTTTCCAACACACACACACACACACACACACACACACACACACACACACACACACACACACACACACACACACACACACTGAAGGCTGTTCTGATGTTAGCCAGCCTCACGTATGCTGCAGATGTAATTCTTTTGTCTCCTGATGTGGGCTTCAAGAGACAGGTTTGGTGTGATATCAACTCCTAGATCTTTCTCTCTGTCTGTTTCATGAATTACTTTATCTCCTATTATGTATCCTGTGTCTGGTCTCCTGTATCCACCGCCTAGTTTCATTGCTTTGCATTTATTCGGGTTAAACTTTAGCAGCTATTTGTTGGACCATTCATTCAGTCTGTCTAGGTCATCTTGTAGCCTCCTACTATCATCCTCTGTTTTAATCCTCCTCATAATTTTTGCATCATCAGCAAACTGTGAGAGGAACGATTCTATACCCTCTGGGAGATCGTTGACATATATCAGAAACAGTATAGGTCCAAGGACTGACCCCTGCATGACTCCACTGGTGACGTCCCGCCAGTCTGAGACCTCGCCCCTCACAGTGACTCGCTGTTATCTGTTGCTTAGGTACTCCCTTATCCAATGGAGTACCTTCGTTTTCACTCCTGCTTGCATTTCCAGCTTTTTCCCTAGTCTCTTGTGTGGTACTGTGTCAAAAGCTTTCTGGCAATCCAAAAATATGCAGTCTGCCCACCCCTCTCTTTCTTGCCTGATTTTTGTTGCCTGGTCGTAGAATTCAATTAATCCTGTGAGGCAGGACTTGCCATCCCTGAGTCCATGTTGATGCTGTGTTACAAGGTTCTTTCGCTCCAGATGTTCCACTAGTTTTTTTCGCACAATCTTCTCCATCAGCTTGCATGGTATGCAAGTTAGGGACACTGGCCTGTAGTTCAGTGCCTCCTGTCTGTCCCCCTTCTTGTATATCGGGACTACACTAGCCGCTTTCCAAATTCTTGGCAGTTCCCCTGTTGGCAGTGATTCGTTATACACTATGGAGAGTGACAGGCACAGTGCTTCTGCTCCTTCCATAAGTTTCCGAGGAGAGATTCCATCTGGGTCTATGGCCTTTGTCACATCCAACTCTAGTAAAAGCTTCCTTACTTCCCTATTGGTAATCTCAAACTCTTCTAGTGGATCATGGTTAATTACTGTACCCTATCTTATCTCTGGAACTTCTCCTTGCTCTAAAGTTAAGACCTTCTGGAATTTCTTATTCAGTTTCCCGCACACTTCCTTGTCGTTTGTAGTGAATCCGTCTGCCCCCATCCTTAATTTCATTACCTGCTCCTTTACTTATTTTTTTCTCCTGATTTAACTGTGCAGGAATTTAGGTTGAGTCTTTGCGTTGCTTGCGATGTCATTTTCGTATTGCCCTTCTGCCTCTCTTCTCAACCTGACATATTCAATCCTGGCACTCTGGTATCTTTCTCTGCTCTCCAGTGTCCTGTTATTTTTATGGTTTCTCCATGCCCTTTTACTTTGTTGCTTAGCTAGTCTACATCTCTGATTAAACTATGGGTTTCTCATCTTCATTTCATTGTTTTCCTTTTGGACCGGGACAAACTTGTTTGCTGCCTCCTTACACTTCTGCGTGATGTAGTCCATCATGACTTGGGCCGTCTTACCCCTGAGCTCTGTTTCCCATGTTATATCTGCTAGGAATTTTCATATATCCTCATAGTTTCCCTTTCGGAATGCCAGCCTTTTGTTTTCAGTACCCCTCCTCGAGTTCAATAACCCTTCTTTAAACAGGTACTCAAACGCCAATACACTGTGGTCGCTCATTCCTACTGGGGCCTCAAAACCGATTTCTCTTATGTCGGAGTCGTTCAGAGTCACATCCAACTCTGTCAGGTTCAACAGCCTTTCTCACATCGGGATCCAACAGATACCTCCTAACTTCATCTCAGGTAATTTCGAACCCTTCCAAACTGCCTGGTTTGTTCCCACTCTTAGTTCATGTACCTCTTATCTTTATACTTTCTACGAATGTAATTACTATGCTATGTATCCTCACAATCCCAATGTACCTTCTTGTATATATATAAATAAAATAATATGTAAATACTGAGAAGACTTCCTGGAATCTCTTGTTAAGTTATTCTCACACCTTAATGGTATGTGAGAATAGTAGGGAAGATGGTCTTTCTCTGTGTACCTATCCTCACCCGTTCTCAGTTTCATCACCTGTTCTTTCACTATTGTTTTCCTACTGATGTGACTGTGGAGCATTTTGGGTGAGACGGTGGAGAATGATAGACAAGATATTGAAATGTATGGAAGGTTGTGAATAATAGGGAAGGTGGTGAACGGTAGGGAAGGTGGTGAATGGTAGGGAAGGTGATGAATGGTATGGAAGGTTTTGAAAGGTAAGGAAGGCAGTTAATGACAGAGAAGGTGGAGAATGGTAAGGAAGATGGTGAATGGAATGGAAGTTGGTGAAGGGTAGGGAAGGTTGTAAATGGTAAGGAAGATTTTTTTTTATATCATATTATTTTCTACCACAGACGTGGCCACACATTTACAATGCTAATCAGCATCTATACATTTTCTTCTGTCCTCCATAGACAGAGTTAGAGATCTGTTAAATATATAGTTCAGGGATTTATTGAACAATCAACCACAGAAGGTGATTCGGTGCTTTTAAAATGTTAAGTCACTTAACAAAGTCAAAAATGTTAAAATGTGACATTAAGTCACTGCACATTCTCTCATGTGTACTATACATATACAAAACGCTAAATTGTAATGCCAATCCTGATCTCAAAAGCTTCATAGAAGGTTGTAACAGAACCCATGAGCACCACACCAGAAATAAATACAGTTTTGATATTCCTAGAGTACGACTTAATCAAACCAGAAATGCTCTACAAATCAAGGGGCCCAGAATGTGGAATGACCTTCCCAACCATGTTAAAGACAGTACCTCTCTCAACCAGTTTAAGATAAAAACTAAACACTACCTAATAAATTCCCTGTAACCTACCTCACTCCTCTATTGTCAACCCATGTCCGTTATTTTCTTTTTTTTTAATCAACACTGTTTGTCAACCTATTGTATTTGTGCTGCTTTTTCAGTCATGTTCCCCCTTTTTTTTATCTTTATTTGTATTTGTTCTCAACACTTTTTATTCTTTATGCTCAATTAGTATTAAGTTCTAGATATTAATGTTTTTCTTGCCCGAAACGCTTTGCGTAATAGTGGCTTTAGGCATTGTATGTACTAGCTCTATCTATATATCAATCCATTAATGTAACATCACTTGTATGTATATACCTTACCTGAATAAACATCTGAATCTGAATCTGAATCTTAAGCTTACCTACATACGTAGATACACAGATTTACGTATGCCCTACATAAAGTGTTCGAAGTGTCATTAATGTGCATTTACAAAGGTGAAGTGTAATTCTGATCAGCTTCCATATGTACTTTATACACATACATATACATACACACACACATATACGTACATATACATATATACATACATATATACACACACATGTATTCACATACATTTGTCTCTTTTACTCTGACGGGGTGAGATAGCTGATAGAGAAACTAGTGTGCAATTAAGCACTTAACCACTGAAGGTGATTAAGGGAAGATAATTGGTATGAAAGGTTGTGAATGGTAGGGAAGGTGGTGAATGGTAGGGCAGATGGTGAATGGTAGGGAAGGTGGTGAATATGAAGGGAAGATGGTGAATGGTAGGGAAGGTGGTGAATGGTAGGGCAGATGGTGAATGGTATGGAAGGTGGTGAATGGTAGGGAAGGTGGTGAATGGTAGGGAAGGTGGTGAATGGTAGGGAAGGTGGTGAATGGTAGGGAAGGTGGTGAATGGTAGGGAAGGTGGTGAATGGTAGGGAAGGTGGTGAATGGTAGGGAAGATGGTGAATGGTAGGGAAGATGGTGAATGGTAGGGAAGGCGGTGAATGGTAGGGAAGGTAGTGAATAGTAGGGATGAACGTGAATGGTTATGAAGGTGATGAATGATAGGGAAGATGGTGAATGGTAGGGAAGATGGTGAATGATAGGGAAGATGGTGAATGATATTGGAGGTGGTAACTGGTTGTAAAATATTTGTCTGGAGTAAAGTTCTCTTGGCACACACCGACAGTTAACCCCCCACGTTGGGAAGCCAAATGTATAAGTATGCTTCGGTAGTCCCTGCAAACACACAGGCACCACGCTGGGAAGCATGAGGTGGAGTTAGTGATCCAGAATGTGAGAGTGTACTCCTTATCCCTTATACACACCTTTGCCCCACCTTGGGCATCAGATGTTGGATGATACACTCTCATAAACACTCGGTTGACTCTGAGCGTCAGATGTGTAATGACCAATTTTACCACACCAGGCCAGCACCGCGCTGGGCGCCAGATTGTGAGATATTACTGGTCAATACACTTGAGAAGGCGTGACCAAAACGCCAAGGATCTAGTACTTCAAGTGGAGATGAAGGCCAGTGCGGTCTCCACTTCCACAAGCAATACCAGACCCCCCCCCCCCCTACCCGCTCACTTTGGTCGTTCACTGCTACTTGCTGAACACCACACGTTCACTAACGCCCACAAGCTTTTGACACTTAAGGGAAATTTCACTCTTGATTGTTCCTCAGATGAATGGACAATCACTTCCTCTATCAGACGCACACGTGATACTGAGTCTTAATACTGAAATAAAATACGAGCACAAGCGAAATACCGTTTAGTCCTTAAAGAGGTTTATTCAACAGTTTCTTCCTGAAAGTTGCACGTGACTCCTCACTAAGCAATCTCCACTCTGCTAACCCAAGTGGACGACACAGATGGTCCTGGCGTCTCCGCGGCTGTCGTTAGTGCCGTAAATCCTTCTATAATAT